ATGCTATACTGCAGTAACCTAATGAATAATTATACAAACTTTGTACACTAATTATTATTTTGAAATCCATTTTTTTCCAGTCACACACGAAGTTACAGAAATTTAATAAAAATAAAAACATTCGTTTAGAAATTATGTGTACGTTAACTTTAAAAGCTGTATAAACGTTCTTTGCAGGAAATAATTTTATAGATTCTTTTAAACAAAATAATATACCTTTATTTTTGTAGCATTATGCACACCTAAACATATTTGTAGGTAAAAGTCCCAGACCTTAATCAAGAAGTCTGAAACGATTTAACAGCACAAATTTTATTTTCGATTTAAAAAATAAATTAACTGTGAGTTTTCCACGTCAAATTAATCATCTTCCAACGTCGATTTTGCTAGATTCGAATTTGCTTATCAATTATGGACCTTCGAATTTATTAATACCTGTTTTCATCAAAATAAACTGAACTTATAAATGTTTATCTCAAAAACTATATATTGAATCGAGTTATTATTTTTTTTTGCTGTTAATCTAGAATACTTAATCTACTGTAGTAATATTTCTTTTAATGGAAAAATTACTTAAGGAGCTTACAATAAATTCCTTTTTCTTATGTTTAAAGGTCGGATATTTTTAATGGAAATATGGACTTAAAATATATTTATCAGTGTTTTAACAAATTAACTTTCTAAATTTTGAAAAAATCCCATTAAACTACTGTAAAATACTTTTGAAATTTTTTAGTTTGATTTTAGGTTACAGTTAGATCTGCGATAAGTTTAATAAAAAAGGATATTACTATATACGTATTGACCATAAAATTGCTATGTTACTATTAATAGAAATTGTAAGAACGTTATTTATTACGTCAAAGTATTTTTGTATCGAAGTCGTGTTATGTTGAAACAAAAATTCAACTATTTAAGCATTCAAAATAATTTTTTAAATATTTTTTAAATAACTTATGTGTCTCGTACTAAAGAACAAAACTCATTTTAAAAATAAAATTCTAAGAAATATGATGATATTTTTTACTTTACAAATACATGCTCGCTTTCAAGTAGAAATTTACCAAACAAAAACTTGCTTGTACTTTTGAATGTTACAAAATGAAGTTTTTTATTAAAAAGATATTATTACAATAAGATAAACCGTTAAGCTAAAATGAAAAAACATACTAATTCAAGAAATGGTTTTCAAGATTTGTAAATAAAATTCTCAAGTTCAAACTATTTTCATGAAAGCAGCAAAAACGAAAAACTTAAAAATCTGTATTTCATAAGTAAATTTAAAACTAAAAAAATTGTTACTTAACATTCTTTCTCTAATTTCATGTTTACCATGACATATTTAAATTTGAATATGATATCGGTGTTAAAAAGTCCATTTGGCGTGAAATAATCTTCCTATGAAACACAAGTACCTCTACAACAAATTTTCAATGTCAATAAATGCTTAACGTTTTTTTCTGAGTATAATATTGCTTTCGGCAAAAAAATTTCGAACGGTGCGCAGCAGTGTGAACTTATCCAGAAATACCATATTTTTTACATGTAAAATACTAAGATACAAGTATAAAACTTATTGTTAGACTAATGTTAAATTGATCTAGCATGAAGTAAATGCACAAAAAAATAATTAAGAAAACGAAAACAGAATTTTCCGACTTTGAATCTCGAAAAATAGTATTGTTTTTATTTACGGCTACGATTTATTTGCCACATTTCAGTCACCTTTGTTTACGACGGAAGGTAGCACATTTCATATTTTGTTGCAAAGAATAACACAATCTACCCTCAATTATGTAAGGCCGGGGGCATACGAGCATTAAAATGACGGTCGAGTGGCTTTTTTTTATCCTTCTCCAATCTCGAGACTTTTTAAGAAAATAATATAAACCTATAGGGATGTCATTAATACTAAAACTACTAGCCGGGTCGAAATAACCTGTTCTGGTTCCTTCTTTTTGCAATTATTAAAAAGATAACAGATGTTTCTCTGAGAAATTATTAAAGAAATTGATTTAGCAATACGCAAACTGAATTGTAAATCAATTAAAAATCCAATAGACGTACTTTTGGAATTTCTATAGAGGAATTACAATTTTGAGAAATTACTTATTTTCATGCGTATTATTAGAAACGCCATACTTCCTACTAGTATGGTGTTTTGCAAAACATTAAGTTAACATGAAAATACGTAAATATACGTGACCTGTCCGTTAACACTAGAATTACCGTACCCGTCAAAATGGCGGTTTTTAGTTTTCTTATTCTGTAATTATTGATATTTTAAGTACCTATTTAATATCCAAAATGATTTTGAAAATAAATACATTCACGTAAATACTATAATGAGTACTTGAAGAAATGATAAAATAATGTATTGTTACAATCTTTGTAAGTTATAATTATACATATCAACCCTAATAAGTGCTCGGTAGTTCTAGTGTTAAATGTTAAAATGACGGACGTTACGATGTGCCACTTACGTTGCAACGTGCGTCGCAACATTATATTGTTTTATATGAGATATGTAAGTTACACAAGCAACGTGCATAATATTTCACGCACGGTCCGATAATTTCGCTTCGACGCATTTATGCTAGAACGGACGTTGCTTGGTACAATAACGCACGTTCTGAATTCAAAAGTTCTTGTAGAAAACACTGTGCTAAGTAAATACCAAAACTGAAAACCTTTCTTTTTCTATTCTTATCCTGCAGTGTACAATTTAGGTATAATTTTCCTTTTGTAAGTAGTCATCAATAATAGCAGTCACCCATAATACTGATAATATTGATATTAACATTACGACATAACGTTATTTTCGTCCGTTGTTCGTTCACTATTTATTAATATTCAATCTGTTTGATATCGGTACACTAATATCTGTTTACTTTCTCTGCTGTTTCTGTGCTAATTGACGCAAGAAAAACAACGCTCGTATGTTGTGATCAAGTCCGTAAAAACGTACATCATAACGCACGTAATTTTAACGCTCGTGTGCTCCCGACCTAAAATATCACGTTTTATACATTACTCAGAGTCCGAAACGATTTTTAAACTTCTTTAATAGTAGGTTTATGGTACGCGTCAATTAGTCTATAATTTGAAATATACTCTACCATTTGTGGTGAAGTGTGAATTGTTAGCTACTGTAGCAATATTTAAAACATGCTTGTTATCGGCAAAAACATTAAAACTTACTTTTCTTTGCGGCAGATTGAAATGTGCTAGTTTTCGTTAGAAAAATTAAACGTGTTACATTTATCTTAAGGCACGTCAAGACACGAAAAGATTGTTAGTGTTTGAATGTCACTAACGGTTCCCTTATACCCTATGGAACTATTTTATTTTCTCTGCTAAAAACAAAATATGTACTACAGTTTTTTTCGTTTTTAGGATTTATTCGAAATAAACTAAAAAATTTCAAGAAATTGGAACGTGACAGATTTCTAGTTTTCTTTGAGAATTGTTTAAACATGTTTAAATATGTATAATATTATTAAAGTACATGTATTTTATTTGAGAAAATCTGCAGGATCATTTTTTGCAAGGACCGACTCTATGCTACATATAGGCAATGTACAAGCAATTTTTAATTTTTAGAACATAAAAAGAAAATTAAACTTGTGATACCAACTTGTTAGCGTTGTGTTTAGTTTTCAGACAAGATCTAGCAAACTCAAAATTTATATCCGTAACATCGTTCCATTTTGAAGATACTGAAGTTTATTGTCTAGTAATCATAAGATTAAAGCAAAACACAATATAAACCGACATCACTTTTTCAGAAACATAACGTAACATTACCATACGTGTTGGTTGAAGGAGACTTTTAAATTCTAAAGTTTAGGATGCTTAATTTCGAAGAAATTGCTCAATTCCGAAACACATTGTCTATATTTTAACATTGTCCAATAATTCACCATTTGTTTCCTAATTAATGTACTTATAAATGCAAGCAATCTAACAGAATCAGGTTATTTAGAAAAGTCACAATTGGTTGTGAAGAGATCGTGAGTAGTTATCTGGAAAAGAGGAATCCTTGTTGGTTTTAATATATTTGAAGAATGATGCCAAGGACATCAGTTTGAGTATCCTTTTCTCTATTTACATAATCACCGTTGTATCTTAGTTTCAGAAATATACGGAAAAATATTGTAAATAATTGCAATAAAAGAGTATGTTCCCCAATCACCTTAATCTTGACATATGTTATGAAGGACATTTTCCCAAGTAACTTATACAAGCCATAGTTGCAAAAAAACATTATAAAAAATTATCAAGATCACGGTAAAAAGTTTCCTTTTCGAGATAATTACCAGATTGTGTTCTTATTATTCAGTATCGTATATATTGCTATCATAATAAAATCGTAAAGTAATAAAAAGTATTTCGGTAAATAAGAATTGAATTTAGGGACTTCCGCTCTACCAGTGTACACAACTTTGATAACTCAAAAGTAAATAGGTATATTGTTCTTACTTACTTATATTAACTGGTTTAATTTTTTATATTTCTTAAATTGTTAATACTTTTATCTAGTAACTAGAACCTCCACAGTTAAGGTCTTTTCTTTGTCAAATTTGCTACCTGCAGATCGGATTACTGGATCAATTAGAAATTTACTGTGCGACCGTTCACGCTGCCACTATATTATGTATTGCTTTAATCTTAAATTGGTTGACAATAATGAAATTAATGAAAACAAAAATTGCGTTAAAATATTTGTAACGATTTTAGGTGAATGTAAAAAATATCTTTGTAATTACTCAAAATAATTTTCTCTATTTGCTGTTTCCTATTCGAGAACTGTTACGTCGTAAGAAGGATTATCGTACTTAAGAATTTGTACATTTTCAGATCGATTGAAGAAACTCATGGTTATCTCAATCGATGAAAATACCAATGAACGCTTTAAAATTATGTTCATATTGCTTTTCTTTTAAACGAAGAACTCGTGAATTTCTGTTTAATGAACATTTCTATCACTTTATTTACAGCTGGAGTGACTCCTGGGATCGACAACGTCCGGCGTTACTCGCTGAACAGAGTGCCAGAAGTCTTTGTAACACAAATGAGGTACAAGATAGACTGGACCCTTTCAAAACTACTCGAACATCCTGTAACAAAGCAAGAGTAGGGATTGGGACCGCCACCTGAACAGAAAGAAAAACCCGGGTCAGAAATATGTGGTTACAGCAATTTAGAATATCATGTAACTAAGGTCCGGTCATTGTGAGTTGGTGCGTGGATTTGCCCTCGTGGTTTACTCGTCGAGGAATCTTGTCCATCAGTTGGCAAAAACGAATGTAATTGAATATTTATACGAACCACTTCCATGACAACATGAAGTCAAGAATGTCGTATAATATATCATGTATATATAACTAACACCGAAGGAAGGAAAGTGCGCAGAAGGCATTTTCCGGTAATGTACAGACCAACGCTTACGTGCGCTGGGCTTTTGGGTATAAGGAGAATCGTCCGTAGCCCTGACAAGAAAGGGATTTCATTGTTCGACTTCGATTTGAACGGATTTTTATTACGTAATATTATACAGGTTCCTAATAATATAAATGTAAAGTATTGAGTATAATTACTCGATATTCTAAATGTATTTAAACAAAAGTTCTCTGTTCACTTCCTTGTTTACTGTATATATGCTCAGCGACAAAAAGATAGCATAATGTATGGATAGGATGTTTTTAACTTTTAATACTATAAAGTGGATTATTTTTGATATTTACAGTATTTAATAAGAATAATAAATGGTTTTAATGTATTTAAACACATTTATTACAAGCAAAATATTTATTTTGTAATATGTACTGAAAAGTGAAGAATCAGAACGTCAAAAAGATAACAGATTCTTCTTAAACTACTTAATAAGTAAAGAAAAATATTATTTCAATATTTTGAGTTAAATAATGTTAAATAATTTTTTAATACATTTTTTGCTGAGTGATGTCCAGTTTCACTCCATACAACGATTTAATATTTTCGCAATTTTACTAATAGAACAATTTTCTTTATACAAATTCTGAATTACTGCTGTTTCACAATCACTCAATCTTTTACCATGTATATACATAGGCCATGGTATAATGAACTATATAATTTTACAAGATATCGCTTTTGAAATACGCACAGTATTAAATACTTGCTAGTATAAACAGTTTTACGATTTTGTACCAACTGAAGAAATAGGAAAACTTTGAAGATGTGCTATAGTATAAGTACCTCCTTTACTATTCAATTGAGTTTACAAAAATTAACAAAATTACACAATCTTCTTGTCGTGGAGTATATGATAATTGTAATCCATCATTGTGTACATTGTGGCCATGATGAAACTGTACAATAGAAAACTTATTTCAGTAAATAAGAGTCGATCTCAATCCATCTCTTTTAATTACGCAGTCATTTTACTTTATTACTGCAATCTCTACAACTTTGAATTACTTTATCTATACGCTGCAAAGAGTAAATATATCATTTGAGACCTGTATACTATGATCTCACAAAAACCCATTGAAATTGAAATCAGACACTTGAGGTCTTTTAGTGAATAGGGGTATCCTCGCCAAACTCCTTACCTCCACAGCCCATTTACCAACTCTTAACGACCGGACTTTAAGGTCTTCAAAATGGTTGCAAAGCGTGAATTAATCTGCTCGGTAGCAGTTTATAAATAAAAAAAAAAGTAACAATATTTCACAGAGTTAGTAATCTTAACACTAGTTGAATACAGTTTTTAATATATGTCAGGCTTCAGCTGTTTTGCCCGCACAATCAGATCATAGAGTATTTTACAGATGTGAAACTTCCTACAGCCTTCGAATTAGAGATTGTACAAATGTATCTAAGACATTTGAGAAAATGAAAAGTGTGGCAATATTCAACTTACTATAACATACTGTACATACATATTTTTTGCTAGTAATTTCTTATGAAGTGATAGTGTAATTAAAAATTATGTTATAGGGTATAAATAAGAAAACTGTACTTAAAAGATGTGTATACTTTCACTTGACTTAAACAAATTACTTTTATTAAGTTATACATGTATGTATATATTATGTTACATACCTATATAATAATTGAATATTGCCATATATTATCCTAGAATTATCTTAATAGGTATATACACATTAAACATAAAACTACATACAAATATTACATTATTTTTATACCACAGAGAGTACGGGTTGCCAAAAAGCATCAGTGACATTTAAAATCATGATATGAGTAGTTCCTATTTCATTTTACCTATATCATATTTTACTTTTATTTAAAGTTAAAATATTAAGTACAAAAATTCATAAAATTTAATATGAAATGATCACCTCTGTAAAGTACTATGTGACAACACATAATCACTAAAACCACACTATGTTCCTCTTAATGAAATGCTTTGTATAGAATTGTTCAAGTAGAGATTTTGCGAGACAGGCAGTAACTTATGCTAAGAGTCAGAATTATAAAAAACTGTAAACGACAGCATCATATGAATAAGATTTGCAGCAAGAGGAATTGTTTCTTTTAATGTATGGCTTTACTATTGTGTGATTCATTGCGCTTAGCTTGCTGAAATTGGCTCAATACAAGCAATAGCTTGGGATAATTAAAAGTAACGAAACACATTTGAGAAAAGTTTACATTTATGGTCAATTTCAGTCTTTGGAAGCATTCAATTGAAGCACTCTCAGCTCCATGTAAGTACTAGATACTTCATTTACCAGATACTTTGAATTTTATAAAAATTCATTAACTCGTCAACGTGGCAAGTTAACAACAATTATGAAAATTTTATAACCATAGTTACTAAAAGTCAATTTTATTCAAAGGCATTTCAGTATATTTTAAACCTAATTCACATTTACTTCACAAAGATATGTATCTAACTAAGGTTAGAGTTACTAACTCTGTATACAAGGCTCCAAAATCCGAATCTACCTTTTCTTTAATTAAATACTTGAAATGCGTCCAGTCATGTGACTGTTAAACTTCAAAGCACATCCTAAAGTTCGGAAGAATTGAAACCACATAAATACATTAATTTGAACAAAAAAATTGCAATTTAAGATCGAACCATTGTTACATAGGCAGTAAGAAATATGTACTCTCTTGTGTTTTATATTAAAGATCGAGGTTCCAGAATTCAACATGAATAAACACAAGTATACTTTAATATACATATTTTATTGTTAATTTTACATTAACATTACACTTACATTTACATTAGTATATTTTATTGTCAATAAAAAAAAAATCAATATTCTAATGTTCCAAAAGAATATACAAATAAAACT